ATTTATCCCATTTAAAACTGTTCACAATTACATCTTAGTTTTTAGTTTTTTTCATCACACAATGAAAGCTGAATGCATTTTAGTTTATCCTGACAAATGAGAAAAGATATGCGGATAAAATAATATTCAGTCGTTTGTGTTTTTTGCTTTCCATGACACAAAATAATCGTGGGCATGCACAAAATAAGCTTCTACGTCATTTTTCTAAAACCACTATATTTTATTCAAACAAACCAACTAATTATGAGATTTTTACTATCTCAATTTCAGTATGCAGAGTTTGCGCTGTTAAAATTCTCAAATTTCTCAACAAAACACAGTTTGTGGATCCAAAGAGTGCAAACACAACAAAGTATGTTATTATTATTATTATTATTATTATTATTATTATTATTATTGGAGTAGTGCTAATGGGGTTAAATCTGTAACAGTTGAAGCACCTCTAACTAATCCTACAGCACTGTTGATGAAAGCTACCACTAGTTTAAGGGCAAATTTATATAACAAAGAAGAAACAATTATTTGGAAACAAATTTTAAGTATTACCTACAACACATAGAGCTGCAGGTAAGACTTATACCGCCTTGATATGCAAACAAAGACAAAGACATGTGTTCATGCCTTGCAACTCATATTTGTTGCTTTTCAGTTTTGTTTGATTAAAGAAAATCTCAAGGATCTAAAAGCATCAGTGAGAATCTTGCTTGTTTTTGGTTTCAGTACCTTCATTCATGATATGTCAGTGGAGTTTTCTGTAATTTTATTTAAACAAAAACTGCACTGAAGAGAGGCAAAAAATAAAACAAAACTACATCCAGTCCCTCACTAATCGTATACATTTAATCATCTGTCCATAAGATGCCTTAAAGATTTCAGTTTACTTGATGTGTGAGCAAAATTAACAAGGCAAAACATGAACCGTGCTGAGTTTATTTTGTGGCTAATCTCTTCTGCAGGGATCGCCCATCAAGTGAACTCAAACAATAGATTTACTCCAGATGTCTTTGATATCAGGAAAGTAAGACCTCAGAGCTGCTCCAGTCCCACACTGGGATTAAGGTGTATGATATGAATGTAAAAGCAAATGTGAAGCTTCAGTTCATTTTAATTTATCTTTGCAATAGGTCAATCCAACACCAGAGCCAAAGGCTATGTTGATGTCCTCTAAGATCAAACTCAAATTCCAGCCTCCACTAGCAGGAAGGACAAAGTGTCCATCTTTAGTGGACTTTCTTCAGACACTGCAGCGAAATCCAAGAAAGGTTGTTGCTGCGTTCTTTTGCACAGAATTTAAAATGTTTTTATTAAGTAATGTGAAGCACATTATAACAGTTGTAACAACATTCCCTGCGAGTATTTTAACAGTTTCAGTTTTTATTTGAATCTGCTGTAATTCATGTCATCTTGTTCGATTTTCACATCCCAGCTGTTCACCAGAAAGGTAATTGCTTCTCTCTTGCCTCTTTCCACTTCTTGTACTGAAAAAAATGAACACATCGGAGCCTGAGTGTAATAAGCGTGTTCGCTCAGCTTCAGCTGTGTCACATGAGCGTGTGCGAGCAGAGTGGACGTACAAGGCTGGATGTGGGGGTCCGCTGGGAGCATCTCTGGGCGGACAGCTCGGCGCATCTCTGTTCATAGAGGTCCTTTTCCCTTTTGGCTTGTCGGTAATATTCAGCCTTGTCCTCATCGGACAGAGACTTCCACTGTGGACAGAAGACATGAGACTGAAAACAGCTCCAGGTACACATCCACCCACTGATCTGTACAAACTCCCATGGTGAGTTTGGATTATAATGTGTGTTTTGAACAGAGCATTATTTTATGTTCATGCAACAATAAAGTAAACAGTGTCAGTTTTTACTTTCTTTCTGAGGGTTCCGTCCATAGTTTGAGAGATTTTATCCTGTAGCTCAGCCATCCCCTTCAACTTCTGCTTTTTTGAAAACAACCTAAAGGCATTCAGAGACTTTTTCACGTTTGTCTTCCTTGGATTCTTTCTAGAGGAGCGAAACAGAAAAGAAACTGCACTTATAGAGCTCGCGTGTCATCACGGTGACAGACTGAGTGACGATCAAGAGGTTTTAAGTTGACTTGAGCTGCGACTGAAGCCCGGAGACTCCCGATCCACAGACGCAGATCAGAAGCAGTCAAGAGTGAAGAAACAAGGAGTCCAAACTTACACTGAGCGGCGGGCGTTCAAAGGAGCAGCAGCAGGATGAACCTGATGCAACATCTCTCCATTCCTGCCCACATGCACCCATACACGTTAGATAACATGAACACAAACATTTGACGCGCACACAAACGTGCAAAGGCTCAGCAAATGATGCTTAATTCATTTAGAAACCAGCCAAACTTACCCTGTACCCATGTAGGGAGCAACAACAGGAAGAATCACATGCTGCATCGGTCCATTCCTGCCCACATAAACACACACGTACAATGACATGCACATTTTTTTTGCAAGGGGTTGCACAATTTTTAAATTCAAATACAAAATCCAAGACGGCCACCAAAGCTAAATTCAAATGGCTGTAACTCAGCTATTTTTAGTCATAATGAGCTGAAATATGGGAGCTGTGATCACCATATAGTCATTAGTTTAAAATGGCGGCTACATTTTTTTTTTTTTTTGTCAGGGTTTCCTATGCCTTGGCAGAGACTACTCTTTCTGGGGTCAAACACACAAAATAAAACATGAAAATGAAACAACACAATCAATAAATGAACACATTTAAAATGTAACTTTTCTGGTTGTCATTGCGATGTCTGGCCACAAGATGCCGCCCAATATTTTTTGTATTTGGTTGTTTTAAATTATTTCAGTGGTTCGGAAAAGTTTTTTTTTCTTTTAATCTTCATACACTGATATCTTCCTTCACTTCATAGATATTTACTTATTTTATGCTTTAACTGCCCACCTTTGAAACGCCACATTTGATCTCCACCCACTTGTCAATCATTTGGGGGTGGCACCTGGGGGTGGCATGTCAAGTGCTAACCCTAACTCTGGTTCCACCCCTGGGTTCAGAAATGATGTTTTATCAATTCAGATTCAGAAACCAATCAAACTTACACTGCAATGGGGGTGATCATATACTGCCTCGCTCCATTCCTGCTCACAAACACACACACAAACACATCAGGGGTGGGCAATCCTGGTCCTCGAGGGCCGCAGCCCTGCAGGTTTTATGTTTTTCCCTGCTCCAACACACCTGATTCAGACATTGAATTACCAAGTTCTGCAGTATGGAGGACTGACACTGACATAACTAGAAAAAAAAATCAGAAATATATAAATGGACCAATAAATAAATTCAATTAAAAATGTGCCAATTAAATTTAAAAAGCAGAGCTTTACCTCACTTTTTACAATTTAACTGACCTTCATAATTATTTTTCCAACTTAGTTCCAACTAATAATATATTTTTGCACATAATTTACATTTTACCTATTTTTGCAAAAATATATTATTTGTTGGATCGAAGTTGGAAAAATAAATATAAAAGTCAATTAAATTAAAATGTGAGGTAAAGCCCTCCTTTTTCACTTTAAATGGCACATTTTTTATTGTATTTATTTATTTATTTAGCTCTCTCTCTCTCTCTCTCTCTCTCTCTCTCTCTCTCTCTCTCTCTCTCTATATATATATATATATATATATATATATACACTTTAAATAAAATTCTCCTTTTTGAATTATATTGGTGCACTTTAAGTATTTATTTATTTATTTATTAGTCAGTTTATATATTTCTGCTTTTATTTTTAATTATGTCAGTTTCGGTCCTCCGTATTGCAGAAGCCTGAAAATCACCCATTCATTCAAATCAGGTGTGTTTGAGCAGAGAAAAAAGTAAAACATGCAGGGCTGCAGCCCTCGAGCACCAGGATTGCCCACCCCTGCATTAGATAATACTCACACAAACAAAGGCACAACAGCTTATTTCTATTGGTCATTGTGTGTTTAACTTACAGCAGTTGAACAGGATACACGGGGATAAGAGGCTGAAGGACCACAATTGTGCGTATCCCCTGTAGAGAGAGACACACACACACACACACACACACACACACACACACACACACACACACACACACACACACACACACACACACACACACACAATCTCGTACATTCTATCTTTATGGGGACTTTTCTACAGCCTACCCCTGACCACCAACCCTAACCTCACTACATGACCCCAAAACTAACCTAAACTCAATTCACATCTTAGTCCTAAACTTAACCCGCGGCTCACCAATGGTGTTTCTGACAGAGCAGAACGAAAAAAAAAAAAAACCTGAGTGTAAAATGTTCAAAAAACGTGCTATTATTGAATGAGGTTCACTTGAGTGGAGATGATTGAAATGATGTGCATTCATGTCTGACACATAAGGTAGGTGTTCATTCATTCGGTGCCACAATCAACCTGGCTACAGTAGCATTACACTACTTATTTCTGGAACACATGATTTAAACCGTGTGCTACTATGATACATAGTGCTGCCATCAGGTTTCTGCATAAAGCATTAAATGATAAGCAGTAATAATACAAGTCTGTTTAAAAATAAAAGACATTTTAAGACCTTTAAGACATAGTAAAATGTTTTCTGTGAATTAAATGCTAAGAGCAGGAACCAGAGTCTCAAAATATGGAACATATCAGGATTTTTCATGTTGCTACGTTTGGTGCTAACATAAAATACAATAAAATAAAAACCTTACTGGCCTTAGGTACTAGACTCAGGTTCCCATAAGTAACATTAGGTTCCCACAAGTAGGTGTGTATACAAAAAAAAAAAAAAAAAAAAAAAAAAAAACTGTCCCACAACGTAGGGAATACCAGTCCCAGGAAAATGTCCTCACCTTGTTTGCTAAAATCATATGACGGTCCTCACTCTGTAGCTGAAGAAACAAGCACACACACATATGCACACACATTATGCTTACACTTCCGCTTCTATTTTAGAAAAAAAAAAAACTGAAACTGCTGAAATTTACAGCAATGACATAAATGTGAACTACAGGTTTTGGGGGACCTTTTGAAATCTATCCCTTCTCTCTGTCAGAGTCTCACCTCTTCCTGTCCATGTCCCCATCTCTGTTCCTGTCCATGAGCACCTGCTGTGCTGTTCAGGTGAGTCTCCTGCAGGCTGCGTGGAACAACTGATGGGATATCGGGAGCAGCTCCCATAGGAGTGCACCCACTGTACGCTCCATTATGCATCCACTCTGTCTGAGGGAGGGGGCTTGGGTCAGACTCAGCAGGGTCAAGAGGAGGAGAGGATGAAGGGTTTAGAGGAGGGGTGGAAGCATCACCCAGTTCCACCATCATCTTTTGGGTGATGGAAAACACCTCCGCCCACTCCATCACCTCTGTATTCCTTTTAGAGTCTTCGATCTGGTCCATGTTGGCAACTTCTGATTCAGTCATGCAGATCTTTCAAAAGATTGATGGTCTGATGTTAGAAACTCAGTACAAAGCTGCTTTACAGCCTCTCAATTATCAAACATTATTCATCATCTGATAGCTAACTGTGATTACTGCAGCAAGAAACATCCAATCTGAAGAACAAAACTTTATTACACAACTCTCAATGTCTGCAGCAACAGACTGTTTCAACCAGAGTTGTAAAGTAACTAAGTACAAATACTTTGTTACTGTAATTAAGTAGAATTTTTGGATGTCTGTACTTTATTTGAGTAATAATTTTTCAGTGTACTTTTAACTTTTACTCGTTACATTTTTAACACAATTATCTGTACTTTCTTCTCACTACATTTTTTAAAAAAGGTGTAGAAACACTGCAAAAACTGTCCACCTAACCAAGTTTTAATATCTTATATCAGCCAAAAAGCTTTTTTGATCTTGTTTTGAGACTGATTTACTAAATAAGAACTGATTGTGTAAGAATAATAATCTTAGTTTCAGAATGTGTCAGATTATTTGTCTTGTTATTCTAAAAATTTGACTCAAATTAAGTCAAAATTTCTGCCAATGGAGGAAGA